TTGGCCAAGATTTATTGACTTTAACTTATAAATCAGAGAAATACAGGATTTAACCACCCAGCTTCAATCCCCAATAAACCAGAATTAAGTCACAGCAGTAGAAACCTCAACACTGAAGCCCCAAAAGGAATCACGAAGCCTCAACTTACAGCTTCCTCCTCTTTGTCCACGTTGCTGGTCTGTGAGAGCTTGATGTTCCCATTTCCCAGCTCTCCATTAGCAGAGAATTTGACGCCGTCCTTGGCGCAGGAGATGACGACGGCGTCGCCGATGTGGCTGAGGTCCCTGCAGATGCGGGCGAACTCAGCAGAAGGCATTTTGACCACACAGCTGTACTCTTGTTCCTGCCAAGGAAGGGTCACGATTAAACTCCTACCAAGCAGCTCGGTGCAGTCGCCACGCTGGAGCTCATCTTTCCAAAACAAGTTATTTTTCAATCTCTAAAATCTGGCATGAACACGGGAAAACACCCTCAAAGGTAGCAGAGTCAGTCGAGCCACTACTTACTGGAATTCCAAGCTGCTCCACATCCAGATCCATCAGCTTCATCTCGTAATCAGAAACCTTTTCCTGATCTAAAGAAACAAAGTAGTTTGACCAAACGTTTCTGAGAAGTTACCACCCTGAATTTCAGCTAGGATCCCTCTCCTTCCCCTGGGTAAAACCACCTCAATTACAATGATAAGATCCACCTTGTTTAATTAGAGCTAGATCACCCCCTCCTTGGGCCAGGATCACCTCCTCCCTGGCCCGGGATCACCCCCTTCCTGAGCTGGGATCACCCCCTCCTTGGGTTGGCATCACCCTCACCTTGGGCTGGCATCACCCACTCCCTGGCCCAGGATCACCCCTCCTTGGCTCAGCATCACCCCCTCCCTGAGCTGGGATCACCCCTCGGGCTGGGATCACCCGTCCCTGGCCCGGGATCATCCCCTCTCTGGGCTGGCCTCATCCTCTCCCTGACCCAGCATCACCCCACTTCCCTTGCCCAGGATCACCCCTTCCCTGAGCTGGCGTTACCCCCTCCGTCAGCTGGGATCATCCCCTCCCTGGGCTGGCATCATCCCCTCCCTGAGCTGGGATCACCCCTCGGGCTGGCATCATCCCCTCCTTCAGCTGGGGTCACCCCCTCCTTGGGTTGGCATCACCCTCACCTTGGGCCGGCATCACCCCCTCTCTGGGGAGGCATCATCCTCTCCCTGGCCCAGCATCACCCCCTTCCCTTGGCCAGCATCACCCCTTCCTTGGGCCACCATCACCCCCCTCCCTGGCCCGGGATCACCCCCTCCTTGTCCCAGGATCACCCCCTCCCTGAGCTGGGATCACCCCTCGGGCCTGCATCACGGAGAGGAGATGTTTTCTCAAAGGCGCTGAATTAACCAGTGAGTGAGGGTGGTTGAAGAGAATAAACAGGGGATGCTCTGGGAGAGCTCGATATGGGGGCTGAGAACCAAGCACGGGGCTCCCTGCAGGGCGGCAGCAGGAAACCACCCTCACAGGAGGATTTGGGGTGGGAAGGGACCTCTGGAGACCACCCAGTCCAACCCCCTGCCAGAGCAGGTCTCACAGGAACGTGTCCAGGGGGGTTTGAATGTCTCCAGAGAAGGAGACTCCACCACCTCTCTGGGCAGCCTCTGCCAGGGCTCTGCCACCCTCAAAGTCAAGAAGTTCCTCCTCATCTTTAGGTGGAACTCCTTATGTTAAAATCTGTGCCCATACCCTCTTGTCCTGTCCCTGGGCACCACTGGAAAAAGACCAGCCCCATCCTCCTGACACCCACCCTTGAAGTATTTATAGGTGTTGATCAGATCCCCCCTCAGCCTTCTCTTCTCCAGACTAAAAAGCCCCAGGTCCCTCAGCCTCTCATTCCACTAACGAAGTGCTCCTGGCCATGGAGAACCAAGGGCAGGGCCATTAATGATCCTGCCCCCCAGCTTTGACTCATTTCTACCCGGATGGTGCCCCCCCCCCCGTGACACAGCAGAAGGTGTTTCTGATCCAGCACTGCCACCTCGTGAGACTCTTCTGCCAAATCAGTTGGGTTCTTCAGTGTCACATCGGCAGTTCATGCTCAGGACGCTCCTGCGTTGCCACCAGTGGGAAGTTCACAGCCTCCTGAAAACAGACCCCCCCAGCACCGAGAGCCCCCCCAAACACTCCTTCCCCCCCAGCACCCCCCAGTTCAGCTTTTCCTCCTTTCTCACCAAGTGGGGCCACCAGATCCTGGTCAGAGGGTGAGGATTTGGGACTCACCAGGAGCAATAAAGTGCAGAAAAACCCCCAGTAGCTGCCTGGAACTTTTCAATTATTATTTTTCATGATCAAACCTTCAGGGGTGAAATGTGCCCTAAAGCTTTTATCTTCACAAATACCCTCAGCCCAGGGAGGAATTGCTGGTGGCACCCATGGGTGCCCGGTGTGGGACAGGCACTCAATGGACACCATGGGCTAGGTGAGGGGACAGCGAGGTGGGTTGAGTCCTGGCTGTGTGACAGAACTCACAGGGGTGTCGTTAATGGAGCAGGGTCAAGTTGGAGGCCTGTGACCAGGGGTGTCCCCCAGGGCTGGAGAACTGGGCAGAGAGGAGATCTGAATGTGACCCAACCAGCCTTTTGCAGGCTGTAAGAGGACATTAACCCAGCAGGAGTGGCATCACCCACTCCCTGGCCCAGGATCACCCCTCCTTGGCTCAGCATCACCCCCTCCCTGAGCTGGGATCACCCCTCGGGCTGGGATCACCCGTCCCTGGCCCGGGATCATCCCCTCTCTGGGCTGGCCTCATCCTCTCCCTGACCCAGCATCACCCCACTTCCCTTGCCCAGGATCACCCCTTCCCTGAGCTGGCGTTACCCCCTCCGTCAGCTGGGATCATCCCCTCCCTGGGCTGGCAAACCCCAAAAACAAACCAAAACCCAACCCCACTGGAAAGGAGAAGGAAAGGGACACGTTGATCCCGAGACAGCCCGAGTCGTGACTCAGAGGGACGGTGACACGGGGATGGGGTGGGCAGGGGATGAGGTAACCAAAACACCAGCAGGGAGCTGAGAAATCAGAGGTCATTGTGTGTCGAGGCACGAGGGAGGCAGTGCCGGAGCGGAGCTTTATTTAGCCACGTTGGGGCCGTACCCTGTGATTTCACCGCCCCACGAAGCCAAGCTCCCAGTTCTGCTGCCAACAGTGACCATCCCGGGGACAGGGATGGAGCCCATCAGCTTCTGAGCTCTCGGAGCCCGGCATCTTGGGAGCCAGAGCCTGGATCCAGCCTGGAAACACCTCCCTGAGCCATCTGAGAGGCGCAGAGAACTCCTCCCTGCAGGATCTACGTGTCTGGTGGCCGCTCACCCACAGCCCAGGGCTGCGACTCCCATCAACGAGGCAGAAAATGGGCCTCCCAAGCTTCTAACTTCAACAACTTTATTTTCTGAGAAAGTGTGGAATAAAGAAAACCAAAGAGCATCTCCCCACTGCTCCAGCAGGCAGGGACAAAGATGCTTTCTCCATAACGCTGTTTGGCATCTGGGACAACGGGATCTCCTCAAAATTCCCTCCACTTGAGCTGAAATGATTTGTCTCCTCCTCTCTAATTGCTGGCACCTTACCCTACCAGCAGGTTTCTTCCTCCTGCTCTAAATTTGAATTTTTATTAAAAAAATCCAGCACCCTCTGATCTTCACACCACACAACCCCCCAGTTTTACCTTTAACTTGAATTTTGGGCTTTTTGGTAGCAACCCCCAAGCACAGACACAACCCGTTTCTGGCCCCATCGATACTGGAAACCTCCCTCACCCCCCTCAGCTCCTCACACCCCGGGTTTGTCAGGTCCCAGCACCCAAAATACCCCCCAGGGACCCCCCCACGCCCAGGGGCAGATGTGCAGGGTGGGGGGAAGAAGCCAAAAGAAATCAGTGCATCACATTTCCTTAATCTGCCCCATTTCCCTCTCCAGTTCCTCGGGACTTCTTACTGCCCTGCCCATCCCATCCTTTCCCGGGATATTCCCAGGGGCTTCCCAGGAATTCTTTCCCATTTATACTGGCGGAAACTGCCCTGCCCTTCCCATCACCTGGCTTCCCAGTGAGAAAGAGGCTATTAATGGAACAAATAGTGGGAATAAAATAGATAAATAGTATTTGTGAATAAATAAATAGTATTTGTAAATAAATAAAAAATTGTAAATAAATAATATTTATAAATAAATGATATTTAGAACTAAATAAAAGGGAAAAAAATAAAATATACTCAGATTTCATGTTTAAGGGCCAGGTTAAACTCCACGGAGCTGCTCTCTCCGGGCGCTCTGCATCGGTTCAAGAGCAGAAAGCAGCTCTCGAAGGGGCCAATAAAGGCTGAATCGCGCCTGTAGCTCCATTTCCGAGCACAATTCGCTCCTTTGGGGGCTTTTCACCCCGCAGCCCCATCGCTCCCGCGGCCGCTTCTCTTCCGCCCCCGCAACCCAGGAAGTTTATTCCCGCGGAGGGAGGTTCCTTCCAGGTCATGCAGCGGCTCCCGGGGACGGGGTGCGGGGAACGGCCGGGATCACCCCTCCCTGGGCTGGCATCATCCCCTCCTTCAGCTGGGATCACCCCCTCCTTGGGCCAGGATCACCTCCTCCCTGGCCCGGGATCACCCCCTTCCTGAGCTGGGATCACCCCCTCCTTGGGTTGGCATCACCCTCACCTTGGGCTGGCATCACCCACTCCCTGGCCCAGGATCACCCCTCCTTGGCTCAGCATCACCCCCTCCCTGAGCTGGGATCACCCCTCGGGCTGGGATCACCCGTCCCTGGCCCGGGATCATCCCCTCTCTGGGCTGGCCTCATCCTCTCCCTGACCCAGCATCACCCCACTTCCCTTGCCCAGGATCACCCCTTCCCTGAGCTGGCGTTACCCCCTCCGTCAGCTGGGATCATCCCCTCCCTGGGCTGGGATCACCCCCTCCCTGGGCTGGCATCATCCCCTCCCTGAGCTGGGATCACCCCTCGGGCTGGCATCATCCCCTCCTTCAGCTGGGGTCACCCCCTCCTTGGGTTGGCATCACCCTCACCTTGGGCCGGCATCACCCCCTCTCTGGGGAGGCATCATCCTCTCCCTGGCCCAGCATCACCCCCTTCCCTTGGCCAGCATCACCCCTTCCTTGGGCCACCATCACCCCCCTCCCTGGCCCGGGATCACCCCCTCCTTGTCCCAGGATCACCCCCTCCCTGAGCTGGGATCACCCCTCGGGCCTGCATCACGGAGAGGAGATGTTTTCTCAAAGGCGCTGAATTAACCAGTGAGTGAGGGTGGTTGAAGAGAATAAACAGGGGATGCTCTGGGAGAGCTCGATATGGGGGCTGAGAACCAAGCACGGGGCTCCCTGCAGGGCGGCAGCAGGAAACCACCCTCACAGGAGGATTTGGGGTGGGAAGGGACCTCTGGAGACCACCCAGTCCAACCCCCTGCCAGAGCAGGTCTCACAGGAACGTGTCCAGGGGGGTTTGAATGTCTCCAGAGAAGGAGACTCCACCACCTCTCTGGGCAGCCTCTGCCAGGGCTCTGCCACCCTCAAAGTCAAGAAGTTCCTCCTCATCTTTAGGTGGAACTCCTTATGTTAAAATCTGTGCCCATACCCTCTTGTCCTGTCCCTGGGCACCACTGGAAAAAGACCAGCCCCATCCTCCTGACACCCACCCTTGAAGTATTTATAGGTGTTGATCAGATCCCCCCTCAGCCTTCTCTTCTCCAGACTAAAAAGCCCCAGGTCCCTCAGCCTCTCATTCCACTAACGAAGTGCTCCTGGCCATGGAGAACCAAGGGCAGGGCCATTAATGATCCTGCCCCCCAGCTTTGACTCATTTCTACCCGGATGGTGCCCCCCCTCCCCGTGACACAGCAGAAGGTGTTTCTGATCCAGCACTGCCACCTCGTGAGACTCTTCTGCCAAATCAGTTGGGTTCTTCAGTGTCACATCGGCAGTTCATGCTCAGGACGCTCCTGCGTTGCCACCAGTGGGAAGTTCACAGCCTCCTGAAAACAGACCCCCCCCCCACCGAGAGCCCCCCCAAACACTCCTTCCCCCCCAGCACCCCCCAGTTCAGCTTTTCCTCCTTTCTCACCAAGTGGGGCCACCAGATCCTGGTCAGAGGGTGAGGATTTGGGACTCACCAGGAGCAATAAAGTGCAGAAAAACCCCCAGTAGCTGCCTGGAACTTTTCAATTATTATTTTTCATGATCAAACCTTCAGGGGTGAAATGTGCCCTAAAGCTTTTATCTTCACAAATACCCTCAGCCCAGGGAGGAATTGCTGGTGGCACCCATGGGTGCCCGGTGTGGGACAGGCACTCAATGGACACCATGGGCTAGGTGAGGGGACAGTGAGGTGGGTTGAGTCCTGGCTGTGTGACAGAACTCACAGGGGTGTCGTTAATGGAGCAGGGTCAAGTTGGAGGCCTGTGACCAGGGGTGTCCCCCAGGGCTGGAGAACTGGGCAGAGAGGAACCTCATGAGGTTCAACACGGGCAAGTGTAGGGTCCTGCACCTGGGGAGGAAGAACCGCAGGCACCAATATAGGTTGGGGGTGGATCTTCTGGAAGGCACTACTGAGGATCTGGGAGTCCTAGCACATAGGAAGCTTTCCATGAGCCAGCAACGTGCCCTTGTGGCCAAGAGGCCAATGGGATCCTGGGCTGTGTAGGGCAGAGTGTGGCCAGTGGGTGGAGGGAGGTCATTCTCCCCCTCTGCTCTGCACTGGGGAGGCCACAACTGGAATCCTGTGTCCAGTTCTGGGCTCCCCAGTTCAAGAGAGACAGGGAACTGCTGGAGAGAGTCCAGCATAGGGCAACAGAGATGATGGAGGGATTGGAGCATCTCCCTGATGGGGAAAGGCTCAAGAAGCTGGGGCTCTTGAGCCTGGAGAAGAGAAGGCTGAGGGGAGACCTTATTAATGCTGACAAGTCTCTAAAGGGTGGGTTGAAGGAGGATGGAGCCAGACTCTTTTCAGTGGTTCCCAGTGACAGGACGAGGGGCAACGGGCACAAGCTGGACCATGGGAAGTTCCAGTGAAATATGAGGAGGAACTTCTTGACTTTGAGGGTGTCAGAGCCCTGGCAGAGGCTGCCCAGGGAGGGTGTGGAGTCCCCTTCTCTGGAGACCTTCAAGCCCCGCCTGGATGCTCCTGAGTGATGTGCTCTGGGCAACCCTGCTTTGGCAGGGGGGTTGGACTGGATGGTCTCTAGAAGGTCCCTTCCAACTCTGACAATTCCATGATTCCACAATTAAACCAGGGAGAGAAGAGGCACAACCCCGAGGGGCTCACAGTGAGACCAAGGGACTCCCAGTGGCAGTGACCCCACGGCCCCCGACAGCAAGTGACAGCCCAGGAACCAGCCCCAAGGGAGCCAGCTCCAGTGTCCAGAGCAAACAGATTTTAAGGAAAACCTGTTTCCCAACCCCAACCTGCTTTAAGAAAACAACCTCATGGAGGGATCAGTTCCTCACACCCCTCCCTTTCAACCAGTCACTCCAGTACAAAACACCCCAAAGCACACGCTCTTGGCAGAAGCCCAGGGTGCCAGAGCCACCCACCCCGAAACAGGATAAAAAAAACCCCATGAAATTACACTCTTTATTTCCACTTTCCAAGTTTCAGTTAAAATTCCAGCCTCAAAAATAAATGGGCGAAAGTCCAAACGAACTCGTGGTGTAACTGAAGGGCAACCCCAGGGAACCACAGCCCAGGCCATGGGTGACACTCGAGGAAGCATCATCTTTACCCACGTTAAATATTGTGCCCCTTCTCTAACGCAGGGCAAGAGGAGTGAGAGGTTTCACCCTAAAACAGCATCTACGAGATAACTGGAGTACAGGAGTAGAAAAAAAACAAACCCAAAGTTTCCTATTTCCAATGACATCAGTAGAGCAAAAGAGTAACTTTGAAAAATATTTACAAAGATATCTACAGCAGACGCCTACCAGCGCTCAGAGGGGGCTCCCACGCACTGATATTGCCACCACCACTTCTTCCATCCCCCCCAAGAGCCCCCCAATCACCCCCAGTCCTGCTCCCATTAAGAGCCATCCTGCTGGTCTTCGATCTTTGGGGCCAGGTAGTACTTTAGGTGTCCCATGTCGGCAATCTTGTACTCCACCACTGGGAAAAGAGAGAAAAACACAGGAGGTTCTTCAGAAAAGAAGAATTAAATCCAGTAAATCAAGAATTGCTCATGCAGTTCTGAGGTGGCAACATTCCACAGGGGGGGTTCACACAATTACAGGATGATCTGGGGTTGGAAGGGACCTCTGGAGATCACCCAGTCCAACCCCCTGCCAGAGCAGGTCCCACAGGAACATGTCCAGGGGGGTTTGAATGTCTCCAGAGATGGAGACTCCACCACCTCTCTGGGCAGCCTCTTCCAGGGCTCTGACACCCTCAAAGTCAAGAAGTTCCTCCTCATGTTTAGATGGAACTTCTTACCTTCAAGTTTGTGCCCATTCCCTCTTGTCCTGTCCCTGGGCACCACTGAAAAAAGACCGGCCCCATCCTCCTGACACCCACCCTTGAAGTATTTAGAGGTGTTGATCAGATCCCCCCCTCAGCCTTCTCTTCTCCAGAGTCAAAAGCCCCAAGTCCCTCAGCCTCTCCTCGTAAGAGAGATGCTCCAGGCCCCTCATCATCTTTGTAGCCTCTGCTGTCCCCTCTCCAGCAGTTCCCTGTCCTTCTGGAACTGGGGAGCCCAGAACTGGACACACTCCCCAGGTTCAGGAAAAGCTGCTGCTACTCACCCAGAGGGACGTCCGCAGACATGCTGAGGGTGACGGTGGGTGACAGCGGGGTGGCTTTGGTGAAAAAGTTCAGGTACCTCAGAGCAAAGGTGAGCTGGACTGGCTCGTTCATCTCAATGGTAACCTGGGAAACCACCAGCCTCATTAGTCCTCAATAAATGCAACGAGTTCCCTCCAGCCTCTCAGATAATTCAGGGACCTGATGCAGTCACTGCGTTGCTCTGCTGAGCACTGCTCACAGGCCCCAAGTTGGCCAAGATTTATTGACTTTAACTTATAAATCAGAGAAATACAGGATTTAACCACCCAGCTTCAATCCCCAATAAACCAGAATTAAGTCACAGCAGTAGAAACCTCAACACTGAAGCCCCAAAAGGAATCACGAAGCCTCAACTTACAGCTTCCTCCTCTTTGTCCACGTTGCTGGTCTGTGAGAGCTTGATGTTCCCATTTCCCAGCTCTCCATTAGCAGAGAATTTGACGCCGTCCTTGGCGCAGGAGATGACGACGGCGTCGCCGATGTGGCTGAGGTCCCTGCAGATGCGGGCGAACTCAGCAGAAGGCATTTTGACCACACAGCTGTACTCTTGTTCCTGCCAAGGAAGGGTCACGATTAAACTCCTACCAAGCAGCTCGGTGCAGTCGCCACGCTGGAGCTCATCTTTCCAAAACAAGTTATTTTTCAATCTCTAAAATCTGGCATGAACACGGGAAAACACCCTCAAAGGTAGCAGAGTCAGTCGAGCCACTACTTACTGGAATTCCAAGCTGCTCCACATCCAGATCCATCAGCTTCATCTCGTAATCAGAAACCTTTTCCTGATCTAAAGAAACAAAGTAGTTTGACCAAACGTTTCTGAGAAGTTACCACCCTGAATTTCAGCTAGGATCCCTCTCCTTCCCCTGGGTAAAACCACCTCAATTACAATGATAAGATCCACCTTGTTTAATTAGAGCTAGAAATCTAGAATTAGAGCTAGAATGTGACCCAACCAGCCTTTTGTAGGCTGTAAGAGGACATTAACCCAGCAGGAGCATCTGTGCGTGGCATAAAAAAGACTTTGTCTTACAAAGAAAGTGTTGGGCAAGCTGATTAAGCTGTTTCAAGAATTTAATTATCAGGTGTCCCCACCCATTTCTGGAGTATTTGTTATTTCATTTCCCCTCCTGATGTGTGTGGCTTATGAAGACTACTTAGAAATATCACTGTAGTAAAATTGTTCCTTCCAGTCCCTCAAGGGGCTCCAGGAAAGTTGGGGAGGGACTCCTGATCAGGGAGGGGAGCCCCAGGAGGAGGGAGAAGGGTTTGACCCTGAAAGAGGGGAGATGGAGCTGAGATGTGGGGAAGAACTTGTTTGGTGGGAGGGTGGTGAGAGCCTGGCCCAGGTTGCCCTGAGAAGCTGTGGCTGCCCCATCCCTGGAGGGGTTCAAGGGCAGGTTGGAGGGGGCTTGGAGCAACCTGGTGTGGTGGGAGGTGTCCATCCCAGGGCAGGGGGGGAGGGCTAAGGTCCCTTCCTGCCTGAACCATTCCGTGATTCGATAAAATCAAACACTCACTGGGTGCTTCAAACACTAGAGCCAGCGTATCCGCGTTGTCCTCCGCTCGTAGGGTGATGATGTCTTCGTTCCCAGCACATTTCAGGATCTTGGACATGCTGGGGGGGGGAAAAGGGGGGCGACGGGGTCACG